TGATTCTTTTAAAATCTTTCCCTAATTCCTCTTGATATCTGCTCAGTGTGAAGAGCTCTTTCTTTGACCCGGGTAAAAGGAGGGCCTTTTGCCCATCCTCCAATAGTAAATGGTACGGCTGACTTTCATCATAAAGATTGCTGTGGAATGTTTTCCATTTTTCTTCTGCTTGTTGTCGTAGAGTAGCATAACTTGCATTAGGTGACACTCGTAATGGCAATCTTTTACCTCTCTTTGATTTGAGAATTTGATCTTTCTCATTCCACTCCATAAGACCCAAGTGAACCACAACATCTTCATATTTTTTCTCTTCTTTACTAAACTTTGTCACTCGGGATTTCCACTCTTTCCCCTTACTTTTCCTGAAGCTTGCAAATGACTTTACTTTGGTACTAGTAAAATCGCTATCTTCAGAACTTCTTCCTTGTTTCTCCATGCTTGAGTGAATTGCTAAGTAAAAGAAAGGTTCATATATTTTAAAAAAGATCCTTCAACACTACATGTTATATCACTGTACCTAGAAAAGGGGCACTATATTTATTTTTATTTTTTATTTTTATTTGATTTATTTGTTTAAGCAGGTTGAATTTATTGGCAACTATTAAGCTGATGTGGACCTGCTGTTTTCCCACCCAACCCACCCCAGGGGAGGACATCCAGCACACAGTAATCTCGTGCGTGGGAAATTAACGTCTCTTACCCATTACCCTTAAGAGACGGGACCTCCGGCTTTACGTCTTATCCGAGAGACGAAGCAAAGTGGGTAAAGCATCTTGCTTAAGGATACAGCGACATGTCCCTGGTAGGACTTGAACCCGGGCCCTTCGACCCAGAGTCCGGCGCACTTAACCACTGGACCACTGACCACTTATCCCGCTGTTCTTTAGCCCTCCTGATCCGTTCAAGGTTTTTGTCCATCCGTTTAACTGAACGTTTTAAGCTATCGATTAATAGATTCTGTTCAACCGTTTAACGTTTTAAGCCATCAGTTTATTTATTTTCTCGGCCATTTAACGGTTTACGGAATCCGTTTTTGGACTTTGCTCCACCGTTTAACGCTTTGGACTATCCGTTTAAATGGGTATGCAAACCGTTTAAACAACGTTTACTACCCGTTTATTGTCCGTTTACAATCCGTTTATTTTCAACCGTTTAACGAAAAAGCGTTAGTGTACGAAATCCTGTGCCCGGTCACATACATTTTAAGAAACCTAATTTAATTATCGTAATTTGAATTAATCATGTTGTTAGCTGCAGTGAGGTGAAATCGCGAGTATTTCGCACTGATATATAAGCTTGTCACTGATTCATGAGCTTATCTATTTGATGGTCGCAATTAAAGTCTTACCTGTGGCGGGTAATTGCTATCGGAAGACCATCTAGAAGACTGATCATTCGGTTTGTCCTCCAAAATGTTCCTGAACAAAATTAAAAATTTTCCAAAATTACCCTCTGTCACCTTAATGAAATCCCCCCATATGACAAAAAGGAGCCTTGATGAGGTCTTACGCGGGTAAATAGTTTGCAGAATAGCTGGAACATTTATGGATCGTGTATGTTAAGACACGAGTTTCAGCAGCTCCCGAAGCCGCCATTTTGGCGTACTTCAACGACTGCGCAATTTTATGCACGCCCGAATATCTTCATGGGAAAATTGAGCCAGCTGTTACTTTATTCAGCAGATCAATTGAAATGATGGCGGCTGTCTGCGCTCTAAATGTTCGTTCTGTGTGGGGCGTCTTTCGAGCTTCTTTGGTCCCAAATGTAAGACGTTGCTTATATTTCAGTACTTATGAACGTATATTTGATTTTTTTTTTTTTTTTAAATTCTATGGGCGATTTCTTCTTCAAGTTATTTTTTGGAGGGGCTCTAGTTTCAACATCACATGTATGCTCAAAGTTATAAGTTGCCAACAGATAGCTTCGTGATCGCAGTCTAACACAAATTTAGGCTTCTCCTTAAATACATCCTTTTTATCTCTTGTAAAAAAAATTCCACAGAACGGTTTGACGACGTCTTCAGCGAGAAAGTATACAAATGGAATTGTATCAGGTGAGATTTAGTGTCCTACAACGATCTCTACCCTATGGGAACCCCCCCCTGGAGAATTTGAGGTGTAGTTAAACTTCATCTTTAGTGCACCTTCCTAGAGCTGGTATGGATCCCTAGGGGGAGTGGCTGAGGCCTCAACCCTCTCTTCCCTACCTTTATCTAACCCTCCATTCTAACTTTTTATAACTTGAAAGTTGCACCCCTTTTGAGAAATTACTAAATTATTACTATAGGAATTGGTAATCCTTTCACTGAACTGCTGCTGAATGTTGAAGTTCAAGTTGAAGTTCATTTATTTGTTTAAGCAGGTTGATTAGTTGGCAGCTGTAATAGCTGATGTGGACCTGCTGTCCTAACCCACCCATCCCACCCCAGGGGAGGACATCCATCACACAGTAATCTCGTGTGTGGGAAATTAACGTCTCCTGCCCCAACCCTGCAGGAGACGGGACCTCCATTTATTCGTCCCTATCCGAGAAGACTAGAATATCTAACCATTTCTTGATGTTATAGAAAGGTAGCAAATTCTTCTCAATTATTTTAAGACCTTGAGTGTTGGTCCGGCCGGGGCTCGAACCCTCGACCTCCCGCACTACAGTCCAGCGCTCTATCCATTGAGCTAACCGGGAGGCGGTTAGCTCAATGGATTCAGTGTCCGTGTTTCAGTATGTACAATGCCATAGGGATACANCCACCCATCCCACCCCAGGGGAGGACATCCATCACACAGTAATCTCGTGTGTGGGAAATTAACATCTCCTGCCCCAACCCTGCAGGAGACGGGACCTCCATAATGTGCCCAATAATGTGCTCTTACTCAATGATGGAAACCAGGTTTCTCAATAAAATCAATAATGTTGTCTGCAGCTTTAACTCTTTTACCCTTGGATGATCAGCATCTAATTTCTCGCAACAGTGACAGCCCTGAATCAAACACCAAGGTCATGAGAGTAAAGGAAATTATCAAGAGGTCAAGAAGCTCTTGATTGTTTAATAAATTCTCCTTGTTAGTACTAGAGGAAATGTGTAGGGAACAGTATGGAGAACTTGTGAACTGATATCAGGGTGTGAAGAGTAAAGAGATAGACCTCAACTTGATCTTGCTTAAATAGAAGCACATACTAAACTTACCTTAGTTAGTTATTCCTTGGCCTTGTTGAGTTACATAATGACAAATGTTAAAGAAAATTATGGTAACATCTTTCACAGGCATCATTCCATCTGCCATGAAAGCCTTACAGCAACATGTTATTAATAAAGTTCAACATCCAAGATACTCTGTGCAACAGAAGCAGTTATTCCATGGTCATGGTTTTCTTACTACTCCTGCTTTATGGCAGCAACCAAGTCTAGCAAGGCAGACAACATTCATATGCTCAACCATGAAAAATAAGCCTTACCTCAACCTTGTGTTGAACAACACAAGACTTTTCGCTACAGTTAACCAATACCGTTGGAAAAAAGTAAGAACCAAGGCTGATATGCCAAAGAAACATATTCCAAAATCTAAACGAATCCTCCTGGGTCCTCAGAGGAAAGGTGTGTGTATCAAAGTCTTCTCAAGAAATCCTAAGAAGCCAAACTCTGGCAACCGAAAGTGTGCTCTGTTAAAATTAAGTAATGGAAAAGTAATCACTGCCTACATACCAGGTGAGCGAGCAGTGTTACAAGAACATGCCGTGGTGTTGTTTGAAGGTGGCAGAGTCCAGGACTGTCCCGGAATCAAATATAAAATTATAAGAGGGAAATATGACATGAACTAATGAAAAAACACTCCTATTTATTAACCCTTTAACTCTTAAGATCCGATTGCTAATTCTCCCCTCTAGCTGCTATGCATTTCCTTGCATGTAAACGAGTTAAAAGAATTTGGTGCTAGATCAAGATAACAATTTCTACCTGATAAATTTGAGGATTCTCATTACCTGTTTGCTAGGTTATGTGTGGATTTTGTGAGGAGAAGTTACATGTTAATCACTTGTGAGAATTTAAGAGTTATCATAAGGTAAACTAGTCTCTGTGCCTTTGTTGCATCTATTGGGTTATGGTTGCACAACTGGAATCAATGCTAGTTATCTGCAGGGTTTTACATAATGTGGTGTATGTTACAATACCCACTCTTCAAAACTGTACAGAATGCTCATGTTCTGCAATCTGAGGGTACTGAAGTTTTAATAAATGTTGATTTGTACACATCTTATAATAAAGCTTTGCAAATTCTACACTAAGTGATCTAAAATGTACAGAATGCACATGTTCTACAATCATGAGGGAACTGAATTTGTATTGAATGTTGATTGGTACACACTTTGTAATAAAGTTTTGAAAATTCTACACAAAGTTGATTGATGATTGATGAACTTTATTCATGTGGCAATGTATTTAGCTGACGTTAATTGGGGACACAACGTAGATGAATAACCCAATTAATGATAAGAAATAAGCTATAGATTATATAACCAGAGGTACAAATTGCGCAAGTGGAGCAACGTAGATGAATAACCTAATTAATGATAAGAAATAAGCTATAGATCATATAACTTAAGAGGTACAAATTACGCATGTGGAGCAATTGTTACCATTTATCCGTTCGGTAATATCCTTACGTCTAATATGGAACTTAAACCTAGAAAGGCTACTAATTTCGGTGATGTTTTTTTTTTTTCAGTTTGTTCCATAGAAATGGTCCAGATATCTAACAGAGTGTTTACCATACAATACAGAATTAAACCTAGGAATATAAAAAAATTATCGTTTGTTGGAGCTTTAATTATGGATCCTCAACCCCCCCCCCGCCCCCACAGGGTCTAAGAACGACTATAGCGGCCCTGAATCACACATTGAGGTCGCAAGGGAAAATAAATTTGTCACCAAGCTAAGAAGCTTTAATGGTTAAACAAATTTTCCCTGCAGCACCTTGGGAATGTGTGTGGAGGCAGAATAGAGGATGCAGGGAAAATTTGTTTAACCATTAAAGCTTCTTAGCTTGGTGACAAATTTATTTTCCCTTGCGACCTCAATGTGTGATTCAGGGCCGTTATAGTCGTTCTTAGACCCTGTGGGGGCGGGGGGGATCCATAATTAAAGCTCCAACAAACCATAATAATTTTTTTATGTTTTTTCATGTTAAGGTTTATCAGTTAAGCAAGGCTTTTTCTGGATGAAACCTGCCCCAAGGCGAGTCGCGATCTATTTTTAGCGGCATATAATTTCAGCTCTATAGTATAAATTCGCATTTTTATTTACGTGAGGTGAAGAGGATTAAAAAAAACTCACACTCAAACAATGTTAATAATACCCACGCCTAGAATAAGGCGTCCAGAAAAAACAGTCAGCAATATTTTTTAGCTTACTTTGTTTACGTGTTTTAAAAGTCGTTCGAATGAGTCATTAGTAGGAAGTCGGATAACAAATATACACTTTTGGGACTGTCGTAAGTAAAGATGTCGCAATCATGGTCTAGACTGTGGGAAAATTACTGAATTGTTCATTTTACCACTTTTTCAGAGAAAGTGGTGCGGCATGAAACGAGTTCCGGTTCGCTTCCGTCGGCTTTCCCTAGAAACTTTAAACATAAATGACGTGGGGTCACATGAAGCATAGTTCATCGAATGAAAATTATTCTCTAGATATATAAGTTTTACTTGGAAAAAATTGTGATAGAAATTTTCGAGCAAACCAGAAGAAAAGCTTAGTTTCGATCCAGCTAAAAGAGAACCACAACTTCACGCTCTGGTAATCTTGACTTTAATGTTATCCTTGAATAACTTAAGATTTTGATCTAGTCAGTTTCATCAGCAGCTGTGCATTTCCTCACACGTGCTGTTGTGCAAGAGTTGGGGTGCGATCGACTTTGATAAAGGTTCCCTTCGCTGATTATTTTGCTCGAAACAAGAGTTTTAAGCTCTCTTGATTTTAGTTTACAGCTAACCACTTATTTTGAAAAATACTTTATGTGGTATATAAACGCAATTGTGTTAAAATATCCTAAAACTGCAACTTCCAACCGAACAGGTGATCAAACAGAAATGCATGCACATCGGCTCGTGTTAGTGAGAGTTTATTTCAATTATCATTGTCCTTCTAAACATTTTTAAAAGCTTCATTTCCATCAAAATACATTTGAATTTAATAGCCGGCCACCAATTCCCCTTAGCTAGATAAAAATTACGAGATCATATCAAGCGAAATACTTGTGTCAAAGTTTAGTAATGTGCGAATTTGGCCTTTGAACACAAAATTCAAGCGATTTGTTAGGCATATTCTTCTTCTGAGGAATTGGTTGTAGAGCAGTTCACATGATATTCTTTTAAATTATTTCTAGAACGAATTCATTCTGGCGTAGCACGTACGGAAACCAGAATAGGAAGGTACTTAAAGATATACGATCAGTTATAGACATTTCAAAATGTAAGGTATTCTACAATATTTTATTACACCAATAAAGATGTAGGCCACTTGATGAACAATCAAAAGTATTACCGGTCTATATCCTAGATACCGTTAACTTTTAATTGGAGTGATTTAAAATTTTAATTTACACTTTCCAATTTATAATTCAAAAATTAGCGTGTTGTAGTTTCTTTAAAGATATAATCATATGAATTTACAATATGGAGAAATGTCATGACGCATACACCTAAGCACTCCTTCCGTCGAAACTGCGAGTCTATGATTCGAATATTTCTGTCCTCAAGTTCCTCTCGACAGAAAAATGAGAACGCAATCAAAATTCCTGGATTTGTTCTAGGAATCTTAACTTCCGGTTTACAGATTTTCATTTGCATTATTAAATATCTTTTAACCTTCAGCTGTAAAATGACAATAAACAACGGCCTTATTTCCCAGCTCGTCATCCAAAGCAAAATACTCGTATTCTTCGTCATCAGTCGGAAGATCATCGTACGAACATTTTTCGTCATCAACAACCAGAACAAATTTCGCTTTCTTAGATATTGCCTTCCAGAATGTTTCATCGTTTTTACCGCGGTTGAACTCACGGAAAATTTCCTTGGCGCTGTACGATATTAACATCACATCGACTTTGTCCATGTCGTTGATAAATGTTTTATTTATTTCGACGCTTTCAAATTCAAACCCCAAACTTTGAACGTAGTGCATCCATCCCAGCTCCCTGTCGTAGCCGATGAACTGGGGTGACTTCTTCCCTCTCGAACTGAACGGGAAAGCTTCGCTTAGGAAGGTTTTAAACCCGCGAAGATCAGAGCCAGGTCCACAGCCGAGGCTCACTACAGTCTTTACGCTCTTGAAGAACCGCTGAGGGACATGGTCTTCTTCAATAGCCTTCTCAATAGCTTTTGTTGTCAAGCTAACTCGAGCGTTAAAAAGCTGCAGAGTGTAGTATGCCCTGAAATTCTGGCTTGCATAACACATAGGCCTCCAGTTCCCATTGTTCTTTATTCCTTGAGCGTACAACACTTTTCCTTCACCGGGATTCGTAAGTTGTAGTTCGGACAGCGCTTTGATGAGTTCTGATGCGCTTGGTAACTTTCCTTGGTCTTCTTGAGACCGGCCATGTTTAGCCTTCCTCTCCAGATAGGCTGCCATCATCATACTGGCATTCGACGGAATTTGAGCACTTGTATGCGAGTCTGAATAACTTCCGTCATTCACCTGTACAACGGTTCGAACCTTAGGGATCTGCCTCGAAAGTGCTAATGTCTTTCGGTTTTATACTTGCCCTGAGCACAAAAGCCCCGAACCAACGTTATAATCGACTTCCGCTTGCGCGCTTTAAATGTCAATATTTTGACCCACTACTGCTATGTTAGCTTACCCTACTCCCATATATGTAGCTGACAGCGTAATATTGCCCTGAAGGGCAATGCCACTATTTATTTTTAGAAGAAACTACGTCACACATCTTCTACGGAACACTGAACTCAAATGAGAATTTACAGGAAACATTGCAAGACATCTATTGATAAAAAAAAAAACAAAACAAATTTAAAAGGATTGTCTTAATACAAAGTTTACAATGTCCTGGCACACTTTACTTCATTTTCACTCCCTAAACGGTATTGTGTGAATTAGATTTGCATAAACCTATTTTTGTTTTCAGCTGTTTTCAAGGAAGCTCTCATTTTATCCCAAGAGAGGCGTTTAAAACAACAATTTTAGTATAATTACTTAGTAATTAGTAATACTAATTATCTGACAACAATTTAGAATTTAGAATGCTTGAGAAAAACATTGATGCAATAAACTAAGTTACAACCATTTGAAGCGTACCACGAACGCTAATTGAGCAGCGCTGTAATCATTTCTGCTCATTCGCTTTCTGAAATCCTTTGAATTGAGAATGACCCCATATCGAATCCTACTTAACTTGTTTGTTGTGACTTTCACTTGAAAGAGGAATTATGATCACAGTGGCAGCTGACGCTAGGATTATCCATTAAACTAAGAAAGTTTTTATTGTTTTCTTTTACAATAAGGATACCCATTACTTAGCACAGAGAAAATATAATTATGGTAGATTCGTTCTTAATTGCAATTTCACCATTTCAGTTGATACATTTTTGTTCCGAATTGATAAATTTTTATTCAAGCCCGTTGCTACGAGACGTAATAAAAAAAGTTTGATACCAGCATATCGTAAGAATTGGTCTTAAATTGACGATTGTTTTTTTAGGCGCGTCTATATGACGCTTTAACTTTGTGAGCAGTTTTGCAAAGCCTAAGGGCAGGAATAAATAACGCATATCCCTTGGTCGATGAACTAACTTCGCGGATACACAATTTGGGAAACTGAGACTGTTTTGCAAGATTTTATTGCTCCAAAACGTCAGTCCGCGAGGTGATTTATAGTTCTTATCTGTCCAACTTTGTCAGAATAACACAAGTTTTTGGTTGTGTCTAAGGAACGACCAATATTCGAGGTAAAATCCCGGATCTATTTCGGAGAATTAACAAAGCAACTAAGCTTAATTTGCATTTTTATTGACGTGTCTTCCTGTGATATTCAACGCGCTTCGCACGCCTACGGGTTTAGTGGGAATTTTTATTTTTTTTTTTAAGTTAGGCGTGATCCGGAAGGATAAAAAAAAAACAAACACTGAAAAACAAAAACTACATTATCGGCATTAAGGCAGTTTTACTAGTTGACCGAATGACTCATATGAAACTGAGAACAAATAGTAATTTGCATGAATCTGCACTTTGTTCAAAAGTACGATGATTCTTGTTCATCTTGTAAACTGCAATTACAGAAAACAGACAAAGACAGTAAAAAAATTTGACAAAATAGCCGTCAGATGTTTCAACGCATTAAAAGAAAGCAAGTGTAGATACATAAAGAAAACTTTGTGTCGGAAATAAGACCCACGTAGTAGCGTTACGTTAGCGCTGCACCTGCTGAAAAATGACCGTTAAATTCTAACCGACAACGGCCACTTTTTGTAGCAAATATGATGAGAGCAGATTAGGCATTTATTTCCGATCCAAGTGGAAATTTGCTATCTATAGAAACCGATAAACAAATAAACAAACAAACAAAAGAAGACAGAAAATTCGAGCAAAATGCGTCAGAACAGGTAGATTGAAATATTCAGCCATGTGTAAACAGTCTACGTTAGGAGCTGGATTTTGTCTGATCGATTTTAGCGCGCGCGCAGGAAAAAAGTAAACTCGTGAAACTTGAAATGATGTCTAGGTTGCACCAAAAGGCACAAAATGAAAGGAATACTTTTCTGATTTCTAATTTAAAATGTGTAATAGAGGCGGTAAAGATATCACAAAAAAGTAAAAGCTTCTTGTGAAGAGGTTTTAAAAGGCAGATCTAAACTCGCAGAACCCATTTTAGAGCTTCCTACGTCATCGTTTAGCTCATTAAATACGTGCTCTCTATGACGTAACCACATGGCCGAAAATTTCTCTCAAAAAGATAAAGCTTTGCCGTAAAATGTCTGAAAATCAGAATTTTGTAACGTAGATTTGCCATCCAAAAATGGCTGCGTATTTGAAGGCCATAAGTTTGTGTCTTCTGATAAGTTTGGCTGTTCAAGAAAATGTCGCAAAGCGTCGAATTGCACGCGATCTGGATGATATTGAACCACGCGACATTGTTGAAAAGTTTAGCCAACACGTGAAAAATCTTGCAAACAACGCGAATAATTATAAAGCGATTAAGGTAAGTAGGGTTTTGATTCGCATGTTTTTATAAAATAAAAAGATGCGTTTCAGTGTTTTTAGTCGGTAAGACATTAAAAGATAAGACAATTCTTTGAACTGAAAAACACAATTCTTTGAACTGAAAACCACAATTCTTTGAAATGAAAAACAGAAATGTGAGAAAACTGAGATCATGATATGAACAAGACGGTTGGACGAAAAACAAAGACCAAACAACAAACAAACAAACAAACACTCGGGAGGAGTTTCTTAGATCGATATACAAGTTGTCAACCGCAGTTTATGAAAACCAGCCAATCACAGTTGCGTTCTGGGTATGCGTAGGTCCGAGTCCTCTTAAGAAGGGAGCACTCGGACTTTTTCCATATAACGCTCAGGTATAAGTGTTTAAGGTAATAGGTAAATGATGATGATGATGATGATGAAAATGAGGCTTGTTAGGCCTCTAGCAATAGAGATGCTAATATACCGAGGAAAAATGAATAGATGTTTACCTATTAAACTGTTTTCCATTTGTAGGAAGGTGTTCAGAGCTGGATTCAGGAGGCAGAAGACTTGGATAGTAAAACTCTTGTGACAAGTCTTGCTACCAAACTACAAAAACGTCTATTAACCAAAATAAAAGCTGTTGAGGGTATCGCTGAGGCAGCTACTAGAGCTCTTGAGGATAACAAACAGCCCAGAAAACGTAAGAAGTTAATGAGGATAATTCTTTATCTATCAAAAGGCCAGGCCCCGGTTGTTCAAAGGATGGATAACGCTATACACTGGATAAATCTCTATCCGGTGGAGAGCGCAGCACGTTTTGGTAACACTTATCCGCTGGATAGCGATTTATCCGCTGGATAGCGTTATCCGCCCTTTGAACAACCGGAGCCAGATCCAAAGTTACGCCCTATATGTTGTTCACTGAACCATTTATAATAATAATAATAATAATAATAATAATAATAATAACTTTTATTTATAAAGCGCTCATATCTTGAACTCATAGCGCTTTACAACACTGTGCGGGGGACTTTACCAGACTGCTAAGCAGTTTACACTCAAATAAAAGCGAATATAACAGATGCCTCCCCCCCCCCTCCCCCCAATTCCCAGTAAACAGGCTAGACCACATCACAGTAATCTCGTGAAGTGGGTTATTTATCTTCTGTTACTAATATTAGTACATTAGCTTTTAGTCTAAGTGTGTTAAAGTCTAACTTGTTAATTTAAGTTTCGCTGAAATTTTTTTAGCATACCACCGATGCTGTCAGCTGCCCGAAGAAATCGAGACAAAGTATGACCCATGGTATAAGGACAGTGTTACAGATACTGAGATGTGCATAATGAAGGCTCCATCTCACTTAAAGGAAAAAGTAGCTGATTTCTCGTCTGTGAAAACCGAATTCGATAGGAATAAATTAACTGTAAGTGTAAACAAGAACAACACCTGGAAAGGAAAAAAAAAGTAATATTATATTAGGAAGTTTTTTCCCAAAGATGTTTGTACAAAGTATTTTTTGACATGCGAAATCCTAATAGTCCGTTTTACAGTTGTGGGCTTGGTGACCAAGCCTTTGAACAGGAGTGAGGCTTAGGGTGACCTTGTTATGATAGAGATGTTGCTTCTTTTCAAATGCAAATTACTTTGTTATCATGCTAAGTGCATACAGGTCTCTATCACAACGGGGTCACCCTTAGCCTCACTCCTGTTCAAAGGCTTGGCCACCAAGCCCAAAACTGTAAAAGGGACTATTGAATGACTTGTGAAAAAAAAGTCCAAGGCTAAATAGACTAGATATTTCACCAATCCAAGTGTTTGTCTGATCACAGGCAAAATGGCAATATGTTGGATCTAAAGAAGGAGTGATATATAATTATCCTGCCACCCGTGTTTCGGGGTGTGGTAAGTATGACAACAGAATAAGACCCTGGTACGTCACCACAGCGACGCCATCCCCTAAAAACATCGTCATTATGGTGGATTCCAGTACATCAACCGGTTATCACGGCAACAAACTGGGTCAAGCTATCAAAACAGCTAAATTGGTACTTAGCACACTCAATCCTCAAGACAAGGTTTGAAAATTGGATTTTTCTGATATGAACGTCAAATTATGTTAATTAGGTATCAATAATGATAATAATAATAATAATAATAATAATAATAATAATAATTTTTATAGCGCAAATTCCATACAATGTTCAAATGCACTTCACAATATTCAGGTAGATGTATTCCTAAGCAAGGTTCTCAGTCAGTTAGGCAGTAGCACAGTCGACAGTCAACGTAGTCGGTTAGTCAGTCACCAGTCAATCGGGCAGTCAGTCGGTCAATAAGTATGTGAGTGAGTGGGTAGTTTATATCCTGTTAAGATGAGTAAACACCTATCCAAGGACCTAATCAATTGGTCGGACGGTTATTCTGGGTATAAGCTGGTCGGTGACCAGTCATGTATACTGTCGTAGACTTATTGCTCAAGCAGGCGATAGGAAAATCGCCAAATCAACGGTCAACTTACTGCGACATCTTCAGTCACTTTTTCTTCTATACAATTTTTCTTCCCAGGTATCGTTGATTCTCTTCAACTCATCAACCTTTTTGCCAGCTGACAGTGACGTTGATGAATGTTACAACACTACCATGGCATTTGCCAGCACATTTACCCTCAACTACCTAAAATCTTTCATTGACAGTGCTCAACCGCGAGGTAGGAAAACCACAGCCATTCCAAAAAATCGTTTTCTTTATAGCTATCGTTTTCATTATCGTTATCGGCGTTGTTATGATTCCCATTATCATCATCGCCGTCATTATCGTTATCGTTACTGTTACCGTTATAGTCATCGTTATCGCTACTGCCATCGTTATCGCTACTGCTATCGTTATCACTACTGCTATCGTTATCGCTACTGTTATCGTTATCGCTGCTGTTATCGTTATCGCTACTGTTATCGTTATCGCTACTGTTATCGTTATCGTTATCATGTTTTGAATTCATGAATTACTGATAAGTTTGCTTTGCGTGAAACAGGTGGTACACGATTTATCAGAGCCTTCCAGAGAGCATTTCAGATCGTAATAAACACCTTAAAATCTGCCTCCGAGGCAATTCAAACTAGACCCTCCATGCTTCTCCTGATCACGGACGGAACTCCCAGACAGAGGAGCACCGAAAAGCAAAGCTTGCAAGCGATCAAGAAACAATTTCAAGAGTTTAAACAGGAATTGTTGAAATATTCCAATAGCACTTTCAAGATGCTAACATTACTGATGTGTAAAGTCCATAAAGGGAATTCATTCTTGAAAGATCTGATGCAGGAAACGGTAAGAGGACAAAAGTACCTCATGGCACAGAAAAAAAATACAAAAACTAACGTGTCAGGGAAGCACGATAAGATCCTCGCCTTTAACCTCCGGCCTTGACCTCTTTTAAAAATCACAAGAGTGGCCAAAGGAGAATTTCTCCAATAAAATTTCGAGCGGAAGGGTATTGAGAAGAAAGCAACAAATAAATAATTGGAAGTTGTATGTGTACGTTTGAGACATGCATATGTGCACGTGAGTCCCAGTCGCCACTGACATCAGTTTGATTTTAGAAAAACAATAACAATAACAACAGCGATAACAATATCAACGACCTCAAAAAGTAGTTATCACTTCACAGGACGGCATACTGATGAGTGCTTATGGTACAAAAGATCCCTACTCCAAGCTGAGAGGTTACTTTGACTATCTGATGGAAGTCACACCGGCTCAGCAGAGTGTTGCAGTCTTCTCTCCGCCTTATGTGGACGCGTGGGGATTAGGTAAGAGCCTCATGTCAAAGAGGTCAGTACAAAAACTTTGGTACAATCGTTCACTAGCCTAGATCGATGAAATGAAGAACTGGCTGATAGCTTTGTCCGCCAGATAATCAGCTAGGGTGTGTCTAATCCAGATATATAGGGACTGACTGACCGGGACTGGTCACGATAAATTAAAAATTTTTTTTCGTTTTGTCACGAGCTTGGGCCTGCTCCGATGTCTTACCAGTGAGCTACACGAAGAACGAGGCTCCTATGTGACACGTGATTAAATGGAATATAATAAGCAAAAGTGTTCACTGTTGATTCATTTTTTGTCTCCAGGCTACATGATAACAGCTGCGAGTGCCTACTTCCATCACAAGAAACTGGCAGGTGTAGCTGGTGTAGATATCCCCATGACCGATCTTTTGGCTGATGTTCAATACTTTAACCAGGCCGGACCTAATAGTTATGCATTTCTGGTTGTTATCAAGAATGGTCACGTGATGAGCCATCCCAAACTGCCGACGCCAGAGTCGATAACTGAGGATCCAAATGCAGTGAACATTTTTGAGCTTGAACCGGGAAAGGAATTTAAGCAGTTATTCAAAAAAGTGAAGAGCACTGGCAAACTACAGTAGGTCGTAAATCATTCACAGTTTGACAACCTCCGTCCGTTGTTTCTGAATAAATAAAGTGGAACTCGCGCTTTTATAAAGGCTTTTGTTGATGATCTATTAGTCAGAGCCTTTTTGACTGAATGTTGTAAAACCAAAACCAAAGGCAATCAGAAGAGAGGAAAAGTCCCTTCAGAGCCATTAAGAACTCCCCCATAAAATGCCGTGGTTTTTAAGTTGCATCTGATTGGTTCAGAGAGTGGTGCAAGTTTTCTGGACACAGCGCGACGTAAAACAAAAACCGAACCATACCGGATTACTTTCGACACTCAACTGATTGAATATTTCTCCAGTTGATACTCCATCTACTTGTCGGCTGATAGTCGATGCACATTTCAATCGATAATCGAATGATAGTCGGCCGGTAATTCACCGACAATCGATGACAGTTGGCCGATTTTGCGATGCACGGACTTGTTTTCGTGGATGCACAAGTCGTCAAAAACGCGGTATGTTTTTCGGACCTCAAGTGCAGCAACATCAATCTCAGTGAGACGGTAACCCGAAAACCACAACCATTTAAACAATTTGAGACGGAAAAATCTACTGTTACCCTTCGACGTTTTGAAAGTTAAAACAACGAAGACTTCTTCTTTTCCTTTTTTTTCGGAGGAAGGGGAGAGTGGGTGGTGAGTTGCTTAACAGTCAAAAAGACGGCTGCGAACGATGTTACGACTTGCGGATAAATATTTTAAGACTTTCTTACCTAGATCTCCAAACATATCTTTTTCCAATGTTGTTGTTGTTGTTTTCATTTTATTTCAGAGAGGCGAAATTCCTAGCTCGAAGGGTTTCCACTTCCAGGGGAGGAGTGTTGGGAGACGGTGTACAAACAGAACTAAAAGACTACTCGTATGCTTGCAAACCTATTGAAGTCGGAAGCGATAGAGGACAAGATTACATGGTTTGTGTTGCTCTTGAAGGAGGAGACACAGGAGAGAAATATGCGAGCAGACTCATCAGTGAGTAATTCCTTGGTTTATACTTTTTGGTGCTTAAAGAAATTGAGGAATTCTTATGACGATTTCTAGAATTTTTTCGATATTTTTCACGGCCCAGTATCGCGGAGTTGATTTCCATGGAATGTGAAAACAATGATTAAATTAAAGTCCCTATTCACCCCCAGAAGTTTCTGTATTTTTCCATTCTTTGCGTTATCAGGATTTATCTCCAAACATTTTTTTTTTGATTGATTATATTCCCCGAGATATGCCGCCTCAACGTTCGTCCTTTAACCACGCCGTTTTGATTTGGCCGGGCTAATACTGGTAACTAAAAGTCCCTCATGACGTCACAGCCGGAACGTCTTTCGATCGATGTGCCTACATTCACTTGAATATGCCTCAAGACGAATCTGGTGTATTTGAGCAACCAGCGACCACGCAGCGAGTCGGCATTTTCACATCATTTTACAGCAATAGACAACTTTTTGTACAAGAAGTTAACGTTAGTTCATCCTGTGACGTCACTGAATGTTGGAGAGGTGGTAGGTCCGAGACTCGGCCCAGGTATTCTCTCCCGGCCAGGTCAAAACGATGCGGCCAAAAGAGTAACCTTGAGGCGGCATATCTCGGGAAATATTTAATCAATGGCAAATATTTTTTAGGAGACTAATCCTGACAACGCAAAGAATCGAAATATATGTAAACCGCTGGGGGTGAGTAGGGACTTCAAGGCACACTTGAAGTGTCGTTATTCTCAGATAACAATTCTGAGTTTTAAATAAATTGTTAGATGTCTCTCTCAAATTCGGAAATTGGTGAGTTCCACAAATTTCCAATTGTTTCGTGTCGGGCACGCACTCCGGAAGAAGGGAGGGGGGGGCGGGGTCAGAGATCGGTAAAGCCTCCCCTCAAAATCAAATGTGCCAAATCCGCTGGCCTTCGGAAAAAAAAAGTTTCTTCTCTGCAAAGTGTTCTATAAAATATAACAAAGCAATACCTATTTCATTTAGCAAACTCAATGTCAGCAAACCCCATTGCTTATCATCGCATGGATGTTCGCGCGGAGACTGGGACTTGTTATCATACGGACACTCTTTCTTATCCAGGTAAGATAGAACAGATATATTTGTGCAGGGGGTGGGGGTGGGGTAAGATAGGACAGATGTCCTTGTGCAAGGGGGAGGGGAGAGTAGAGAAGAGGGAGGGAGGAGGGAGTTAGAGAAGTCTGTGTAAAAATTCGAGAGTTTGGCGGTTAATGGATAAAGCGCACAAAGATGTTGACGGTCTTAAGTGACATCAGCATTAGATAGAACGTGATAGACTTGAACGAGGAAGTTTTCAGCACGGACAATCAACGAATAGATGTTGTTTTCACTTGTACACTATAACAATAATTTCAATGCTGTATGTAAGGCATTAGCTTATGTCACCTGAAATATTGGGTACGAATTAGGATAGCTGACGGTGGCGAGGAATATTGGGTACGAATTAGGATAGCTGACGGTGGCGAGGAATATTGGGTACGAATTAGGATAGCTGACGGTGGCGAGGAATATTGGGTACGAATTAGGATAGCTGACGGTGGCGAGGAATATTGGGTACGAATTAGGATAGCTGACGGTGGCGAGGAATATTGGGTACGAATTAGGATAGCTGACGGTGGCGAGGAATATTGGGTACGAATTAGGATAGCTGACGGTGGCGAGGAGTATTGGGTACGAATTAGGATAGCTGACGGTGGCGAGGAATATTGGGTACGAATTAGGATAGCTGACGGTGGCGAGGAATATTGGGTACGAATTAGGATAGCTGACGGTGGCGAGGATCCACACATTGTAAATGAAAAAAATTTATAAATGCTTTACGCTAAATTTTCGAGGTAGGCAAACTTTTGCATGGTGCTTTCAGAGTTTCTTTTTAAGGAGACAGTTTACGGAGAAAAAACAACTTGAACACAAGGGAACGCAATAAATGCCGTTAGTCTTGTGAAGACAAGATACCAAATATCTTACACACATAATAGGACAGCGGGAAGTGAAATATGGCTTCAGTTAGATCGACCATGGTATTTCTTTATCTCAGATCGCTCCGTGATTAAATTCACCGCCAAAGCCTTCAAGGAACCTGCAAATTATCTAGAGGCAGCAGACAACGCCACAGCTGTCCGAGACTATGTTCGGGAGCTACACTCATTCCTCTATTTACACAAGGCTGGTGATAAATTCGATGTCAATCCGATCATGACAGCCGTGTTGACCTCACTATTGGATGAAACTTGGTTATCTCGAAGAAATCAGGATATTAATTTGAGGAAATTTGTGCGTCGTTACATTGGAACCTACAATGGTGTCCTTCGGATGTTTCCTGGAGCACCTCTGCCGCCAAATTTTGACCATACCACTCGGTCATGGTAAGCTGGAGTTTGTTTGGGTATCAAGGGATTAAAGTTGATCTATCAATAGGGAACAGTCTTTATTTATCACCTAAAGGGAACAAAAGTTTTAAGTTGCAACACAACAAAAATTACTTGATTTCACTAGTGTCTAAAATTGACAACAAAATTAATTTTGACGTTGGTAATTATGTGAAATTTAACAATCATTCATGTACGCGACGCGTGACACTAGTGTCCATAATGGGACACACTGACGTGTCCAAAATAGGACACCTGTGTGCAGATTCGGACACATATGTCTATAGGTGGACCCTAGTGTGAAAAACCGGACTCTTGTGACAAAAATTCGGACACTAATATCCAAAATCGGAAGGAGAAGGAAAAAACGCTTTTACGTCCGTTCTCTTGCCAAACTGGTTTTTTACCCACGTGAATTTTTTAGGTTGAAAATACTAGATTGCACTTATTATATCTATTTTATTTTACTAGAGTTTCAGTAAATAAAACTGTTCTGAAGCGGAAACGGAAATTTCTTTAAAAAGGAGGCACGTTTATTCAAATGAAAAACGGTGAAACGGTAACACGGTTAACTCAGAAAAAACATCAACAACCTCGAAAATTGCGACTCAAAAACTGAAAACTAAACTGGCGCACGCCAAAACCTTACGCCTCATTTGCTGATTTCTTTCATCTATTTTTTTTGTTGTAACTTTTTCAGGTCATGTTTTCAATTGATCAAAGATTTAGGCTCCAATTGTGTTAAAAGAGTCTCTTATCCTATTCACGTTTTATATTTATTTTCTGTTTAATTTTGTTTAGGTTCATACGTGCTGTTGCAAATGGCCCTGACTCCATATCATTTGCAGCTCCATATCTAGATCCTCTGGGTGCTGGTTTCATTGTCTCAATCAGCCAGTCTATAAAAACTTCGTACGGCAAAAAAAACTTGTTTGGCGTTGTTGGAGGTGATCTAACCATCTCAAGCTTTGGTGCAAACTTCAAAAACAACGCCGGGAAAAAATGCCTGGATTCCAGCCGGAACCTGCGGTGCTTTCTTCTGGACACAAGCGGTTATGTGGTCTATCATCCAAACTTTGAACATGTTGGTAATAATCCAAACAAGGTTCTCAACAGACACATCACAATTATGGACGGCGATATCGCGCAAGACTTGATCAAGAATGGAATAATGGTTAGGAAGGAATGTCAGAACTTTATGCTCCTAAAGCTGCAACGCTTCTACGAGGTAAACAGTAACTTAGGGCAGCAGTGCTAAAGGTATAAAGGGATATAGGTTCTACAGAAACTGTGGTGGTGCGACGGTAAGGGGCATAAGAAGATGATTTGGTTTATGAACTGAGTTGATATTGAACAAAGGCCACCGTTAAGAGTTCCTAATGCTGACGTTTCCAATTTAGCCCTTGAGAAATATTTGAGGTCTACCGTTGAGAAGACCTTTCACCTTTAACCATTAAGATTGAGTAGAATATTTTACACTCTCTTTCAGATTAAGATAAAAAACGGCGTATACAAAGGCACACATTCAAATCAGCGTCGTTGCAGTTCCTACGCACTCATTAAAGTTCCCGAAACAAACGTTTTTGTGGTTGTCACCAAAAGTACTGCTTGCTTCACCAACCGGCCCACGTGCACCTGCGGCGAAATGTGCAGGCATCACGAAAGCACGGCGTGTGAGTGTCCGTGTAAAGCTCGCTTGGCATACAACATCTGTAACGCTAGCCTCACTCGCGAGAGGTAAGTGATTCGAAGTCACCTTTCACTTGTTTACCGCCGCCTGGCCAGCTCAGGCAGTAGAGTGCTGAACTGTTCTGCAGGAGGTCGAAGGTTCAAGTCCCAGACCGGACTAGCTCGAAGGGTCTTTAAAATAACTCAGGAGAAGAAGCCGCCTTCCTTACCACAATTGTAAATGATTAAAAGTTCGGATATAGACGGTGAATCGTAAATCCCGTCTTCTGTATCTTATATCTTCTCTTTATTATCCAACTACGCCTAGACGAGTACAAATAACGCCATAGACGAGTAAAAATATCACGCGATGTTTGTACTCGTCTATTGTACTACCGGTTAAACAGGTTTTCTCTCTCGCGCAAGAGAAGAATTGGATTGTAGTTACGAAAAAAAAAAAAAAATCGGACAATTTTAATCATATTTCCGACAACAAAGAGTCAGAATGGCTGACAAATATAGATCCAAGTTCATTAGATGAGTCGAACGAAGAAAAACAGCTTGACGACCAGAAAATTTCTTCATTTAATGAAGAAAATAGAAACAGCAACACAAAAACGCGCCAATTCCGTTCGGCTTCGCATACTTCTGTCACGCAATCCCAAATAACAGTTTGGCGTGTTGGATAATAAATAACTTATTAGACGTTTTGCTGTGTAGTATCGCTTAGTATTTTTACCCGTTATTTGTAGTTTTTGCTCGCCCTAAGGGCTCGTCAAAATACGGCCCAACTCGTAAAAATACTCAGCGATACTACACAACAAAACGTATAATAAGATATATGTATTGAACAGAAGGGGACGTCAAAGAGCACATGCACTCCTCGCAAAGAGTAGAAAACGTAGCTCCCGTTATTATGGTCTGGTCTTGATTCCGAAATTGGGGGCACTTGCAAAAATTCACTTCAAGATTGTAAACTGCTTAATGCGGTCAGGTCAAGCCCCCATATGAGGAGAGTTAATATTAAACTACTGCCCCGTACTTCTTCATGCAACACAAATAGGCTAGTGCAGAAAGATGAATCGCAGCTCATTTATGAAAATTAAGGTGTTAGTAATCGCTCTTGAGCTGAGGGCACATGGAGCTGGGGGACGTTACGAAACAACTGCAATTTTCACCGTAACGTTTTCAAAGGACCACACTAAACTAACCATGGTGGTATGGACTCATCAATGCAAAGAACTGGCATCTAAAAATTACGGATGTCAGTATCCCAGCAGTTGTTTACCTACCCCTCCCCCCAGTGGTAACTTGTTATCATTTGACTTTGTTGAGTTAGGGAAGGGATAGGTGCGCAGTTTTTCAGATAGTGAAATTACTCCAGAATTACTTAATTTGAGCAACCTTTAAACCTAGTTCCAGTGCGCCTTAGTTTGATTCAACAAAACACTCAATCTTTTATTGTTCTGCAGAAAATATTTTAAGTATTACGTGTTGGTATATATAAATATTTTATAAATCACTACATTATATTCTATTGTTTAGCGACATCCCAGTGTGCACCCAGCCCTCACCTTCAGTAGCAAAGCGTGGGCCTCTCGAGCAAAATTCCGCTGACCTTGGACGATGCATCAGCGTGCACTGCGAGCTTTACGATGAAAAGGAGTGCAATGAGATATTCGGGTGTTTCTGGTGTAACAGGGAAGCTGACGGTTCGCTTCTCGAGGAACCCAAATGTATGAGCGACCGACAGTGTTATGATGGAGTGATGGGACAAGAAAACCCTTTCTTGTTACCAGAGGTTCCAAGAAGAAAGACCAAAGAAGTTCGAAGGCTGAATAAGATGTTACTTATCATAGCGGGATCAGGCGCCGGAGGACTTCTTATTATTATTCTTATCGTTGTGGTGTGCTGCATGCGCAAGAAGAAATCCCAATATGTACAGGAGCCAATGAGTTTTCAAGCAATAGATATGCTGATGGACCCTACGGCTGTGATGGATGCCAAACAAGGATTCAACCAAATGTCGCTGAACTATCCCGGCCAAAGCACAGCTGTGCAATCAACGATGGCGTTGAATTATCCCGGTCAAAGTACCGTCAAGCAGTCAAAAATGATGGCAAATTACCAAGGGAAAGGAGCAGGCAGGCAGTCAAAGATGGCTTTAAATTACCCAGGCCAAAGCACCAAGCAGGCCCCCATGCAGATGAACTACCCAGGGCAAAGTACAGTCATGGCGTCCAACATGCAAATGAGGCTGGGCGGTCAAGGGTTGGGTTATCCAACCCAAGCAATGTCTGGGGTGTGGTCAACAAAGTATGGTCAGTCACAAGTCATGTCATTTGCTCCACAGCAGAGTGCCATGCAGACACCCCAGGCTCCAGGAGGAGGGCAATCTGCTGCCAGAAGGCGCCGACCCAGACCAAACCGTCACGTGTCATTCTCGGAGGACGCTCGCGGCCGAAAGAATCAAGAACCCCTGCCCACTTCCGGGGGTGAACCGAAAGTTGACGAGAATGGTGATTTATAAACCCCGCCATTCATGCCTTAATTACACACGATTTGTCTTCTTTTGAACTTTCTGATAACGTACTGAATCTATTGGTTTTCTTTTTGTAGCATTTAAAGCTAAACCAACTTTTAACGGCTCTCAACCAATACATTTCTGAATTCTGTACTGAGTTTCTGTTTCAAAATGAATAAAAAATGAAGGCGGGCTAACAGGTGTGTCACTGTTTAATAATGTTAATAACTGTATGTGTTGATCTTCACACGAATTCAATATCCTCACGTAAGAGGAAAGCTTCTCAATGACAATTTTTAGATCTGAATCAAGGCCTGGTACAGCAGCTAAAGACCGGTTTGCGAAGTACCATACGCCACGATGACATTCACTCAACAGACTTAAATAGAGGAGGACTTCATCTTGGTGAGACAGGTATTGCCAAAATGTATAAGAACTTCGCGAATAAATTAGATGAATGTAGTTGACCTACTCGCCGTCCGTTTAATTCAGAGCGTAATCGCGACCTTGGAAACCTAATCGTTTCTCACGAATTTCTTCCGTCTAAGCGAGGCTTTAAATTGGCCTTGCTAAATATCAATAGTCTTTCTGCACACATTGACGAACAAAGAATTTTGCTTTCCGACATACCTATCGATATCTTAGCCATAAATGAAACTAAATTGGATGACACAATAAGCGATAATGAAATTCATATTTCTGGCTACGGTAGGTCTAGAGGGGGTGTTTGTTTTTCTATTCGTTCCGAATTCAATTATTCTGTTCGCTCTGATCTAATATGTGAACACATAGAAAGTCTGACTGTCGAAATCAAGAGGCCCAGATCAAAGGCCTTTTGCCGTTATGACCTGGTATAGACCCCCTGATTCTTCAATTGACCTTTTCATTTTAGACCATTTGAAGATCTTATTGGAAAACTAGACTCAGAAAATATCGAATATTACGTCTTAGGAGATCTGGATTGTAATATGGCCGCGCCTAAGTTTGACAACAGTACAAATATCTTATCTAATATTGCCGAAGTTTACGGCCTTAACCAGTTAATAACCGAACATACTAGAATTACCGACAAATAATCAACTCTAATTGATCTAAGTTTTAAAAATACTCCAGATAGGGTCGTCTGCTCAGGGGTCTGACATACGGGCATCAGCGATCACAGTTTAGTTTACGCTTTTCGTAAAGTTTCTATAGAATCGACAACGAATAAGCATACTACCCGGCCTGAGATATAGGAAATTGAAGAATTTTAACTCTGATCACTTTCGTAACGATATATGTCAACAGGATTGGAGTAGCATCGAAAGCTATTCTGATGCTAATTCAATGTGGGCTGCATGGAAACAACTATTCCTGGAATGCGTAAACAAGCATGCTCCACTTCATGTGAAACGGACGCGCGCCTCAAAGTCACTTTGGATTACACCTTACTTAAAGAAGCGAATGCATGACAGAGATATTTTTAAATTGAAAGAATCGCGTTCTAAGAATGCTAATGACTGGCTACAATTTAAAAAATGTCGCAACCTAGTTAATAACGAAAAAAGAAAAAGCAAAAGAGCATTAGATGAAAGCGAAGGCAATTCGTGCCAGACCTGGAGGATTGTAAATGAGCTCACGTAGAGGAAAACTAATAATTGTTCCATAAAAGAAATCAAAAGCAATAGCAACTCTGTTTACGGCCCTCCTGAGCTGGCCAATGCCTTTAACAATCACTTTTCTTCTACTGGACCCAAGCTTGCTATCCATATTTATTCCAATAATGGTCCATCACACCTACATTACCTTGAGGGAACTAACAAACGTTTTGAGTTAAAATGTATTAATCCTTCTTAAGTGTTGTCACTTTTGTCTAAGCTTTGTAAATCGAAAGCCACAGGCTTAGAT